CTCCTGTGTAACAGTCTCGAGCCCTGTGCTCTGTGCCCTGTGTCCTCCTGTGTAACAGTCTCGTGCCCTGTGCTCTGTGCCCTGCAGGCTGGAACTCGGTGCTGAGGGTGGTCCCACGTTGTCTGGCCTCTACTTCAAACTGTACTGCTTCCTGGATGTGGAGAATGTGGCAAAGAATGGAGTGGAGTTTGCCTTCATGTTCGAACAGGTACAAACCCAACTCAATAACTTGCGGTAACCAACAGCAGGAATGTCAGCTTATTAATAAGGTAGTCAGTGATGAACTAGTGAAGCAGAGGAGCTTCTCCACGTAGAGTCTCTAACCTGGACCACGGTTAGCACGGTGGCTCAGTGGTTAGCACTGTTGCCTCACAGCACCAGGGACCTGGGTTTGATTCCAGCCTCCGGCGACTGTCTGTGTGGAGTTTGCACATTCTGCCCGTGTCTGCATGGGTTTCCTCCGGGTGCCCCGGTTTCCATCCACAGTCTAAATATGTGCAGGTTAGGGTGGATTGGTCATGCTAAATTGTCCATAGTGCTCAGGGATGTGCAGGCTGGGTGTGTTAGCAATGGGAAATGCAGGGTTACAGGGATATCTGGGTGAGTTGCTCTTCGGAGGGTCATTGTAGACTCAGTGGGCCAAATGGCCTGCTTCCGCACTGTAGGGTATCTATGATTGAGAATCAAATTGTTTCAGATCCAGTTATCCAACAAAATGTGGTGTTAGTTTTTACAAAATGGAGCAGACACACCCCCTCCCCCAGAGCAGCAGACATCCCCCTCCTCTAGACCCAGAGAAGCAGCTGCCTCCACCCACACAGAATCACAGAATTGTTACACTGTAGGAGGCCATTCAGCCCGTTGTGTCTGCACCAGCTCTCCAGATATTGTAACTTAGCACCAGTCTCCCCCCATAACCCTGCACATTGTTTCTATTTACATAACATTTTGCTCCTGTTCTTCTCATGTTTAATTCCAACAAGGACCAGCAAGCTGAAATATTAAACAACAGCAGTGCTTTATTATGGAGATGTTCACTGTGCAGTCAGCAGGGTTACACCCAGCTATTTCCCTCCAAACAGCTGAAAACTTCAGCATTTCATCACGAGGTTGGACTATTAAAGTGATAGTCCATCATACTTACCAAATATACAACATCCCTCCCATCTTTACATCGGAGGTTCCTTTATGTAAACATTCAACATATTTATAATCAGGTGTACAATAATTATTAGGTTAGAAGTTCCAGAGTATATTGATTCCTGTGAGAGTGCTGGCACACATCTGACATCTCTTTACGTTACCCGCTGGCTTTAACCTCTGTTGTTATAGATGTCTGAGGAATATCATCTGTTGTTGTCTTTTCCTGAGACGACTGAATGTTCAGAGGTTTACACAATGTTGTATTCTCCACTGAGGTACTGTCTCCCTCAGATACTCGAGGATTCGACACAGAAAGAACAACTCTCGTGACAATGTTTGAACCAAGGCTGCAATGAGGTCAGAAACTGAGTGGCCCTGGCAGAACGTGATCTTTATCAATTTCTTGGATGAGGAAGTAGAGGGGTGGGTTAGTAAGTTTGCCAATGGAATGAAGGGTGGTGGAGTTGTGGACAGCGTGGAGGGCTGTTGTAGGTTGCAACAGGACATTGACAGGATGCAGAGCTGGGCAAAGAAGTGGCAGATGGAATTCAACCCAGAAAAGTGTGAAATGATTCATTTTGGAAGGTCAAATTTGAATGCAGAATACAGGGCTCATGGCAGGATTCTCGGCAGTGTGGAGGAACAGAGGGATCTTGGGGTCCATATCCATAGATTCCTCAAAGTTGCTATCCAAGTTGATAGGGTTGTAAAGAAGGCGAATGGTGTGTTGGCTTTCATTGGCAGGGGAATTGAGTTTAAGAGCCATGAGGTTATGCTGTGAGCTCTATAAAACCCTGGTTAGACCACACTTGGAATATTGTGTTCAGTTCTGGTCACCTCATTAAAGGAAAGGTGTGGAAGCTTTAGAGAGGGTGCAGAGGAGATTTACCAGGATGATGCCTGGACTGGAGGGCAGATCTTATGAGGAAAGGTTGAGGGAGCTAGGGCTTTTCTCATTGGAGTGAAGAAGGATGAGAGGTGACTTGATAGAGGTGTACAAGATGATGAGAGGCATAGATAGAGTGGATAGTCAGAGACTTTTTCCCAGGGTGGAAATGACTATTACGAGGAGGCATAATTTTAAGGTGACCGGAGGAAGGTACAGGGGAGATATCAGAGGTAGGTTCTTCACACAGAGAGTAGTGGGTGTGTGTGGAATGCGCTGCCAGCAGTGGTAGTGGAGTCAGATACTTTAGAGACGTTTAAGTGACTCTTGGACAGGCACATGGAGGATAGTAAAATGTAGGGTATGCAGGATAGTTTGATTTTAGTAGGATAATAGGTCAGCACAACATCGTGGGCCGAAGGGCCTGTACTGTGCTGTACTGTTCTATGTTCTATGTTCTGACCCAAACTGGGCATCGCTGAGCAGGTTATTGCTGAGCAGGTGCTGCTTGATAGCACTGTTACTGACACCTTGCGTCACTTTACTGATGATCGAGAGGACACTGATGCAGCGGTAATTGGCCGGGTTGAATTTATCCAGCATTTTTTGCATAGGATACATCGGGGTGATATATTTCCAAGTCAGGATGGTGAGTGGCTTGGTGGGGAACTTGGAGGTGATGGTGTTCCCATATATCTGCTGCCCTAGTCCCTCTAAATGGAAGTGGTTTTAGTTTGGAAGGTGCTGTCTGAGGATCTTTGGTGAGTTTCTGCAGTGCATCTTGTAGATAGTACACACTGCTGCGACTGAGCGTCGGTGGTGGAGGGAGTGGGATGTTTGTGGATGTGGTGCCAATCAAGCGGGCTGCTTTGTCCTGGATGGTGTGAAGCTTCTTGAGTGTTTTTGGAGCTGCACTCATCCAGGCAAGTGGCGAATATTCCATCACAGTGCTCCTGACTTGTGCCTTCTGTGAACTAAGGGACACAATTTCAGGAGACAGGGTAGATCATACATTACTGAGATAAGGAAACGTTTCTTTACTCAAAGGGTGGTGACCCTGTGGAATTCTCTGCCAAAGAAAGCTGTGGAGGCTAGGTCACTGAATATATTTATAAAAAGAGATGATTAATTTTTTAGGCGTTAAATGCATCAAGGGCAATGGAGAGAAAGTGAGAAAGGGACATTCAGATAGAGCCTTTGAGCACGGAAACAGACATTTTGGGTCCAATTCATCCATATCAACCAGGTTTTCTGAACTTAACTAGTCCTATTTGCCTATATTTGGCCTACAACTCTTTAAAGCTTAACTTTCCATGCACCTCACAAATGTTTTTTAAATGTTGTAATTGTACCTGCTGTGGTGATGCTGGGTAAAGTACTTGTGGACTGGAAGTCAGGATGTTAGAATTTGTTGTAAAATGATAGTGGGGGGGGGGAGAGTATGTGGTCCCTTTAAAAGATGATGCACATTTCTAGGCTTGGAGATTTAAAGAAAATGCCAGCAAAGATAGATCCATTCCCCTGCATAGAGAGTTCTCGAAATTGAAACATTTGTATTGTATGTTTACAATAAAAAAACCAATTGATTTAAACCAGGCACTTAGAATGTGAAAACCAATTAAATTTAAATATGATGGTTTTGACAACCCAGGACCGATCCTAATGTAAGAAATTGATAGGTCATCAAGGGTATAAAAGAAGAGGCCATTTGAAAATCGGTGTGAGAGTGAACTACCATCTGAAGAGAAACTCACTGGCTCGCACATAAATCTCTAAGCTCTCAGAGTAAGCACCAACTAAATAAAGGTATTACAGCACTCTTAGCTATTATTCCTGACACAAGATTTCGATAGAGGATGGCATTCCTGACTGGAACACAATGGAGAGAAGGCAAAGGACATTCTGGAAGACTTATCCTGGCTATAATTTTGAGAGATTAACTTTTTTTTAAAATTAATTTGGTTTATATAGTTGTTACTTATATCTATTGGAACAGCATACCATTAGAATCTTGTTTTATTCTGGAACAGTTAGTAGTTAAGGGTGAATTGTTCAGTTTGTTGGTAGTTCTGTTAATCTGTTAACTGTTAGAGTTGGATAAATAAATTGTTACCTGTTGCTTGTAGGGTGACTGTAAGGAGTTCATTTTATTTCACCTCTCCTTTATAACAGATTAGGAGGTCAGAGGCATGTTGTACCACTTTGCACATTTCCTTTAACAGATTATGAGGTGAGGTGAGCTTCTCCAGATGTTTTGGTTTTAGTTACTGGGGGGAGGACCTCATCTCTGCTTCATAACACCCACCTCCACGACATTCTCTGGCATTTCATTCCATACTTGCACCACCCTCTGTGAAAAAGTTGCCTGATAGGTCCCTCTTAAATCTTTCCCCTCCCACCTATGTCCTCTCATTTTGGAATCCCCTACCCTGGGAAAAAGACATTGGCTATTCACCCTAACCATGCCTCTCATGATTTTATAAATCTCTAAACCTCCTACACTCTGGTAGAAAAAGCCGCAGCCTATTCAGCCTCTCCCTTTAACTCAAACCCTCCAGTCTCGGTAACGTCCTTGAGGTTATAGATTTGCTCGCCAAGCCAGTGTGTTTGATTGCAGACTCTTTGTCACCATGCTAGGTGATATCGTCCGTGCATCTCCGGTGAAGCTTTGGCGTTCTGTCCTGCTTGTTATTTATAGGCCTCAGTTTGCTGGGGTGGTTGGCATCACTTCTGGTTCTGTTTTTCAGTTGTTTGTATATCAGGTCCAGTTCAAAGCATTTGTTGATGGAGTTCCGGTTGGAATGCTAGGCCTCTAGGAATTCCCTGGCATGTCTCTGTTTGGCTCATGCTATAATGGATGCCATGAAGAAAAGACTCTCATGAACTACCCTGTCTCTGCCTCTCATAATCTTGTACACCTCAGTCAGATGCCCCCTTCAGCCCCCTCTGCTCCAGGGAAAACAAACCCAGCCTATCCTGTCACTCCCCATAACTGAGACATTCCATCCCAGGCAACATCCTGGTGAATCTCCTCTGCACCCCCTCCAGTACAATCATATTATTCCTATAGTGTGACAACCAGAACTGCTTACATTATTCCATCTGTGGCCTAACCAATGTTTTACAAAATTACTATAGACTTTCTTGCTTCTATATTCTATGTCCTGGTTAATGAAGACAAGGATCTGTATGCCCTCTACATCACTGTCTCTACCTGTGACTGACACCTTCAGGGATCCATTGACTCGTACACCAAGGCCCTTTGTTCTTCAATACTCCTTAGGGATTATCATTCATTGTGTATATCCTTCCTCATTAGACCTCTCAAAATGCATCATGTTGCATTTATCAGGATTAAATTCCATCTGCCATTGCTCTGTCCAATTTACCAGCCGATGAATATCAGACTGTAGCCTGAGACCTTTCTCTTAACTGTCAATAATACCACCAAATTTCCTGTCATCTGCAGACTTACTAATTATACCATCTACATTCACACCCAAGTCATTAATGTATATAACAAGCTGCAAGGGTTCCAGCATCAGAGATAGTAGGCACTGCAGAAGCTGGAGAATCTGAGATAACAAGGTATTCATCCAGCTCTACACCTTGTTATCTAGGGTTCCAGCATCGATCCCTGTGGTACATCACTGGTCACAGGCTTCCATTCACAAAAACAACCTTCCACCATCACCCTTTGCCTCCTAGTTGTAAACAAGTTTTGGATCCAGTTTCCCACCTTGCCTTGGATCCCATGGAATTTTACCTTCTGTAACAGCCTTCCATGTGGGACCTTGTTATTGGCCTTAGTGAAGCCCATGTAAACCACATCAATTACACTACCGTCATCAATATATTTAGTCACCTTTACAAAAAGCTGAATTAAATTAGTCAGACAGGATCTCCCTCTAACAAATCCGTGCTGACTATCCCTGATCAATCCTTGCCCTTTCCAAGTGTTGATTAATCCTGTCCCTCGGAAGTTTTATCGATAGTTTCCCTACCGCTGATGTCAGACTAACTGCTCTGTAATTTCCTGGCCTATCCCTGCTGTCCTTCTTGAACAAAGGGACCACATTAACCATCCTCCAGTCATCTGGCACTTCACCTGTGGTCAGGGTCAGTGAAGTATTAAATATCTCTGCCAGGGCCCCAGTAATCTCCTCCATAACCTCCCATAGCAGCTCGGGATACATCTCATCAGACCCTGGGGATTTAGGCACCTTCATACCCGCTAAAACATCTAATACTCCCCTCCTTAATAATCTGAACATGCTCTAGAACCTCACCATTCCAACCGAAATCCCCAGCTACAATGTCTTTCTCCTTTGTGAATACAGATGAGAAATAATAATTTAAGACCTGACCCATGTCCACTGGCTCCATAGATAGTAGGAACTACCGATGCTGGAGAATCTGAGATAACAAGATGTGGAGCTGGATGAACACAGCAGGCCAAGCAGCATCAGAGGTACCGGAAGGCTGACGTTTCTGAAGAAGGGTCTAGGCCCGAAACGTGAACCTTCCTGCTCCTCTGATGCTGCTTGGCCTGCTGTGTTCATCCAGCTCTACATCTTGTTATCTCCACTGGCTCCATGCACAGTTTCCCCCTTTGATCTCTGATAGGTCCCACCCTTATCTTGGTAATTCCCCTTACTCTTAACATATTTACAAAATGCCTTGGGTTTCCTTAAACTTATCTTCCAAAGTATTTAGTAGCCCCTCTTAATTTCTATTTTTAACCACTTCCCCTACTTAATTATCATATTAAATGTCCGAATAGGCTTGACGGACTGAATGGTCTCCTCCTGTTCCTGTTCCCAGGATAGTGTTAAGAGTGGTAGGACTGGTGATGATGGGTTCCAGCTGGTGCCAGTGGTGTGATCTCCGATGTCTCCAGCATATCTTGTAAAATAGTTTGGTTTGGAAGTAGCTGTTGCTCAGAGCCCACAGCAACAGTGTAGCTCCTGAACTTCTGTGTATGTTGTTCATCTTGCCAATTCCCCAGTTCCATCTGCCTGTGGACAAGCTGTGTAATTGATACTCATCCTTGCATTAAGGTCCATTCGAAGTTGCAGCCCCTCCATATTGGGAATTCTGCTGATGGCAGCACCAAGTATAGGCATGCCTTAAGGGTGAGATGGGGCAAGTTCAAAGGAGTTGTGAGGGACAGGTCTTTTACACAGAGAGTGGTAGGAATGTGGAACACACTGCCAGGGGTGGTGGTGGAAGCAAATATAATAAGAGCATTTAAGGGACTTTTAAAAAAGCACATGAGCACCAAGGGCAGGCAGAAGGGATTAGTTTCTTTGGTGTCATGTGCAGCACAACTTTGTGGGCCGAAGGGCCTGTTCCTGTGCTGTACTGTTCTGTGTTCTATGTGTCTTGGATAGAGCTGTGTGTTGGGGTTCAGATGCAGATGAGATTAAATGGGGTCCTGTTTGATGACTAGCAAAAAGTACAAGGTGTGCATGTGCCCTCTGCATGGTGTTCAGTTACTGTCAGTAATTACCGGCAAGTTACTGTGAAATCCATTTCATACACATGGTACCTCCTGAGGTTTCCCCTGCCAGAGGAGAGTGCAGTGCTGCTGTTCAGGGAATCCAACATGAGCGAGTTTAATTACCTGCAGCACAGTATTAAGCATTTAAATTCTTTATTGGACTCAGCTGCCCTTGACAAATCACTAACCTGCAGAAGGTCAGTGGTAGGGTTCATGTGGTACAGTGGCAGTGTCTTACCTCTGAGCTAGGAGATCTATGTTCAAGTTCCACTTTCCCTAGCAATGTGTAATAATGTCTCTGAGCAGGTTGATTAGGAAAATATCCAGAAGGTCAGTTGTGGGAAGTGGTGGTGGAATGATGTTAATTTTACCAGATGAGTAATCACAAACCCTAGACATAGTTTTGGGAGCATGGGTTCAAATTGCACTATTGTAATGAAATATAGAAGGTCGTTGGTAAGAGCAGGACATGTAGCCTTTACCACACAGCTTGCAATGCCATAAAGGCCTGTTTGCCTGATACTTGGATTAGCTGGGAAATAACCGTCTGAGCTCCAAACACCCACTGAAGCAAGCAGGCAGCTGGAGCCACAGAGCAGCCAAATGACTGTGAAGTAGCAATCCATTGAAATGCAATGATCTCTTCCACTTTTAGAGTGACTGGGGAGTAATGGTCTCTTGTTCAAGAAGGAGACAGAATTAACCACTTAACTAAAATAAAACAGCGAACTGTGGATGCTGGAGATCTAAAACAAAAACAGAAATTTTGAAGAGACACCAGACTGAAAACGTTGACTCTGTTTTCTGCCCACAGATACTGCCAGACTTGTTGAGTTTCACCATCAGTGTCTGTTTTTGTGACCCACTTAACTGTTCACCAGTAGTCTCACATCAAACTGTTCAGAGATGACTTTACTGGGGCAGTCATTATTAGCATGAATGTTCTGGACAGTATTATCATTGTGGAGACTCTAGGCCAGGATTAGTACTGTTGTCACTAGTTACTGGAGTTTGTGTTTCCCTCCGTCCAGGCCCATGAGAGTTTACTCAGTGGACATTTCCCTGCACCCGAGGATACCCTGCAGCTTTTAGCAGCTTTGAGACTGCAAAACATTCATGGAGATTACAACAAGGGCTCCTTGAATCTCCAGGAAGTTTATCCTGTCTCCAAACTGAGAAACAAGATCTTGCAATCCACAAAATTCAACTCGCAGACCCTGAAGAGGAGGACCAGTTTTTTGGAGGGGACATTGCGCCTCGGCCTTCGCACAGGCTCTGTGAAGAAACAGAGGATGGAAGAAGAGCAAATGTTGGAGATGTGGTTGAAAGAAGAACTGTCTGCTACTCGCACAAGCATCGCCGATAAATGGAAAAGGCTACGGGGAATGACGCAGCAGCAAGCCATGCTAAGGTACATGGCCATTGTCATGGAGTGGCCTGGCTATGGTTCCACTCTCTTTGATGTAGAGGTATGTTCAACTGGTTGTTCACCTATAGTTTCTGTCTGCAGTTTTCACTCTGTCACAGAATATGTCTGTTCCAAATATTTCACTAACCCACTTCAATTTACCATCAACCTGGCTAAGGGATTTACTGAGGATAACTATTATCTCATTCTTTGTCACTAAAAAGACAAACCTAAACTTGAGTTATTTTACTGTTTGGAAACATTGTGACTGATATTACTTGATTTGGGGAGTTTGACAGTCCTTCCTTCCCTCCTCTACTTCTTCTTTCAATCTGTCATTCTATTTCCCATTCCCTACCTACTCTGCCTCTCTCTCCTCTTCCCTCTTCTTCCCCAATACTTGCTTTACCTCAGCCCCCTTCCCCTGTTCCCTTTCTCATGGGTACTAATGATGTGGAGGTGCTGGTGCTGGAATGGGATGGACAAAGTCAGAGGTCACATGACACCAGGTTATAGTCCAACAGGTTTACTTGAAATCACAAGCTTTCAGAACTGCGCCTTCGTCACCTGATGTCATGTGACTTCTGACTAGGGGTACTAATGCTGTCTGGGTGGATCATGATGCCCCTTTATTGGTTCCTACAAGTGGTATTCCTTACTAACAAGATACTGCCCTTAACTAAAATATGTTCTACCTATCACACAAGTGAGTAATGGAGCATGCAGGCTTTACTGCTTGCATGATGCCAGGTATGTAGACCATATCAAACACCACGTCTCCATGCTTTTTCTCAGTGGGTAGCATGCTGACTGTGCTCAACCAGCCCATGTTTATAAACCTTCACACATAGTGTCCAGTTCCCAGGGCAGTATTCAGATTTGGGCTGACAAGTGGCAAGTATCATTCACGCCACACAATGACTATCACCAATAAGAGACAATCTAACCATTTCCCCATGACATTCAATGGCCTCACCATCACTGAATACCCCAATATTAACATCCTGGAGGTTACTATTGATCACAAACTGAACTAGACTCACCCTATAAATACAGTGGTTACAGGCCAGAGGTTAGGAATACTGCAGTGAGTAACTCACTTTCTGACTCCCCAAAGCCTGTCCACCATCTACAAGGCACAAGTCAGGAGTGTGATGGAATACTCCCCACTTGCCTGGATGAGTGCAGCCCCAACAACACTCAAGAAGCTTGACACCACCCAGGACGAAGCAGATCGTTTGATTGGCTCCACATCTGCTCCCTCTACCATCAACACTTAGTAGCAGCAGTGTGTATTATCCACAAGATGCACTGCAGAAATTCACTAAAGATCCTTGGGTAGTACCTTACAAACCCATGACTACTTCCACCTAGAAGGACAAGGGCAGCAGATACATGGGAACACCACCCCCTCCAAGTTCCCCTCCAAGCCACACACCATCCTGACCTGGAAATATATCGCCGTTCCTTCACTGTCGCTGGGTCAGAATCCTGGAACTCCACCCCCCAGGGCATTGTGGGTCTACCTACAGCACACAAACTTCAGTGGTTCAGATCAACCATGATCCTACTGAATGGCACAGCAGGCTCGAGGGGCCAAATGGCCTACCCCTGTTCCTGTGTCTGATGGCTTAAGAAGGTACTGACCACCACCTTCACCAGGGGCAACCGGAATAAATGCTGGTCTTGCCAGTGCTGCCCATGAATGAATAGAACAAGTTAGATCTGATGCCATATTGAATGTTTACTAAATAATCCTGACTGTGCTGAGAATTACACTCGAAACACATTGAAAGATTATCAGTCGCAGTGAGATACATTTGTGCATGCTGGAAGCTACATCTGTTAATACATAGAACCCTGATATTTGTAGGTAAAAGAATTTTGTGCATGAATTACACCCATTTCATCGAGACTGCCAATCCCTGCTGCCTTCCCCTAGCAACACCCTGACCAATCAGGGTCTACCTGCCTGCCCTGTGTTAAATCAGCAAGGTACATTGACAGTTAACAATTTCTGCTGGACATCCAAACCAACCATAGCCCAAACAATCAGCGTCCTCTTCTCATGGCATCTAAATTAACATTGTCTTTCTCAACTTTGTTTCTTGTATTTCAGTCCTGATAAATGCAAGGCAAAAACCTTTGTGTCTCTTTTTAGTAATGTTTATCTTCCTCCAGGTACTAATCATTAAACTCCTAATTAGCCAGTTTGTTAAGGAGAAAACCAGAGCTAGTCTTTACTTGGAATGGAGTTATTAACAGAGTGAAACGTTACAGATATATATCCCCCGATTCCATTCTACCCAAGTCAGTAAGTTTCTCTAAATATGTGCTGGCAACTTTTTCATGTGACCAGAATAGATCACCGAACAGTGGGATACATTAACAACCTTGCAAGACTGAACCAGTAGATATTTTCTCATCAATCTGTTCAGAGATATTATGGCACACCTTTGGCAGAGGTGGGACTTGGACCTGGGCCTCCTGGCTCAGAGGTATGGACGTTGCCACTGTTCCACAAGAATCTCTGTAAGTGCTGAAGTAACCACCCAGTCAATGCCCTCCACCTGAATATACTTAGACCTCAGTTGATAATAATGAACACTAATGTCCTTTGGTTATTTACAGTGTAAGGAGGGTGGATTTCCCAATGAGCTGTGGTTGGGTGTCAGTGCTGAGAATGTTTCAATCTACAAACGGGGTGATGCCCGGCCTCTGGAAACCTTCCAGTATGAACAGATTGTTTTCTTCGGTGCTCCACTCCCAAACACATACAAGATAACTGTGGAAGAAAGGGAAATGTTCTTCGAGACTCCACAGGTAAGAGAGCTGATGGGTGACCTCAGGCATGAGCTTGGGACTGAGGGAGCTTTATTGATGTGCTAAGTCCAGGACATAGACACACAGTCTTAGGATAATCATTTAGGAGTGAAATGGGAAGGAATTTCTTCACTCACAGGCTTGTGAATTTTAGGAATTCTCTATCCCAGAGGGGTGTAAAGGCTCATCCTCTGGATGTATTGAGATAGAGCTTGAGAAATCTTTTAGGCTGTAAGAGATTCAGTTACAGAAGTGGAGGTGGGGAGAGTAGATCAACCATGATCTTCATGAATGTTGGAGCCTGCTGAACAGGCTGAATGGCCCACTTCTTCTATTTGTTATGAAAGATCATCATGAGTTCAAAAATCAACTGTGTCCATTTTATTTAATTTAAATGAATTTTAAATTGACACAGTGTTAAGCCCAGTGTCTCATCTGCTGTGGGTCAGTGCATGTCAGGCAGCGGTAGGGACAAAGGAACATAGGAGCAGGAGTTGGAAAACTTTTATATAAGGGGTCTTCCACATTTAAGACAGAGACTGTCTCTGTCTCTCACTTGATTGTGAGTCTGTGGAATTGTCTTCCCCAGAGAATGACGGAGGAGGGGTCATTGAATACTTTTAAGATGGATGTGGATTAATTTTTAAATGGCAAAGGAATTGATGGTTTTCAGGAATAGATATAAGTGTAGAAACGAGGCCACAATCAGTTCAGCCAGAGTCTTTTTTCTAATTCATTCATAGAATGTGGGCAACGCTGGCTGGGCCAGAAATTATTGCTTGTCCCAGTACTGAATGTTGCAGCAGGCTCAATAGGCCAAATGACTTACTCCTACTTCTGATTTGTACATTTAGAAAAAATAGGCAGAAAGGAAAAGGAGTTGAAATAGTGCAAAGTTCTGTTCATGTGGAATGGAATCAGTACTTTAATGTGAAAGGAATTTAGAGCAGAACAATGTGAAATCTGTTTGGGATGGAGCTTAGAAACGGCAAGGAGCAACAGATATTGGCAGGAGTTGTTCATAGGCCACCAAACAGTAGTGGTAATGTTGGGCACAGTAAAAAAATCAGGATATGAGATGAATGTAACAAAGGTAATGCAGCAACTGTAAGACACGTCCAAAAATATCTAGATTGGGTAAATCTAATGAGTGCTAAATAAACAAAAAAAAAACTGCACAAAAACCCAACAGGAAAAGCAAGTTCACAATAAAGAATGTTAAAAATTATATTAGATCAAAGGAGGAGGCTTATAAAGTTACCAATAAATATAGCAACCAGGGGATTAGTAACATTTTAGAATTCAATGAAGGAAGACCAAGAAAAATGATAAAGAAAGGGAGAATACAATACGAAAATATACTAGCAAGAAACATAAAGCCGGATTGTAAAAGCTTCCTAAGTATGTAAAAAATAGAATAAAGCAAAGACAAATGTAGATCTATTATAGGCAAATCTAGGAGAATTTATAATGGGAAATAAGGAAATGACAGATTCTAAATAATTACTTTGTGTTTGTCATCATGATAGAAGGTACAAGAAATTTCCCAGAAATAATACAGATCTAAGGGACTAGTAAGAATGAGGAACAGAAAGAAGTTACTATCAGTAAAAAAAGCAGTTCTAGACAAACTAAAGGACTGAAAATTACTAAAACCTCAGGATTCAATAAACCATGTCCCAGGATGTTGAAAGAGGTGGGTATAGAGATAGAAGATGTAATGGTGACCATCTTTCACAATTCTACAGATTCTAACATAGTTCCTACAGATTAGAATATTTCAAATGTAATCCCATTATTTAAGAAAGGAGGGAACTATAGATCTGTTAGCCCTATGTCAGTAGTAAGGAAAATTTAAGGTTTTTGCAAAGATCTGTAGCTTGGATTGTGGATGAGGTCGTTGACTTGCTCGCCGAGCTGGCTTGGTTTTGTTCAGACATTTTGTCACCATGCTCGGTAACATCATCAGTGAGGCCTCCGATGAAGCAGTGTTCTACCCTGCTTGGAATTTATACTGTCCGATCTGTTATGGTGATTAGTGTCATTTCCAGTTTTGTTCTGTATGGGTTTGTATATGGGATCCAATTTTATATGTTTGTTGATTGCATTATGGGTGGAGAACCATCCCTGTAGGAATTCCCGTGCATGTCGACAAACTTTCCTGAATATCAGTACACTCGGACAATGAAGGCCATCGGTTTAACTGGGACAATGTAACCATAGTGGCCTAGGCCAAACATAAATTCCAAGCAGAGTAGAATAACATTGCTTCATCAGAAGCCTCACTGATGATATCACCTGGCATGGTGACGAAACGTCTGAACAAAAACAAACCATCTCAGTGAGCAAGTCATCAACCTCAGTCATGAAAATATTTAGAATCTATTATAAAGTATATGATGATTGGACACATGGAGAAGGATGGTTTGATTGTGAGGAGTTGAGGTGGTTTTATGAAATGGAAATCATGTTTGACGAAGCTGTTGGAAGTTTTTGAGGATGTTACTATCAAAGTACATAAAGGGAAGCTGGTGGTTATATTTGGGCTTTAAGAAGGCTTTTGATAAGGTCCCACATTTATTAGTAACGGAAGTTTAAGAACACAGGATTAGGGGGCATATACTGCTATGTATTGAGAAGTGGTTAATGGATGGGTAATGGTCAGAATAAATGTGATTGAGCATGTGATTGTAGAATACCACAATGTTTGGAGACCAGCTGTTCACAATATTTATCAATAATTTGAACATCAGGACCAAATAGAATATTTACAAATTTCACGTGAAATTCAGACAAAACCAGGTTGGAATGATAGTATTGGGGATGATAGAAAGAGGCTTCAAGGGGATTTAGACAGACTGAATGAGTGGCAAAAACATGGGAAATAATGAGATAACAAGGTGTAGAGCTGGATGAACACAGCAGGCCAAGCAGCATCAGAGAAGCAGGAAAGCTGATGTTTTGGGCCTAGACCCTTCTTCA